CCCCCCCCCCCCACCAATCCCCAAATGTTGTACTTTTAAACTGAAAAATGCCTTGTTTTCCCAGGGAAACCCCGAACATTTAAAAAGATCTTTTTTTTCAATATAAATAAAAAATGTGATAAAAAATTCTTAGGGGAAGGAGAGTAACCATCTTCCAACCAGATCTAATCATTACAGGTTGAACTTCTCAAATCTGGGACTCTCTGGTCCAGCAGCATCCGTGGTCCGGAAGGAAGGACCACGGATGTTGCTGGACAAGAGAGCCCCAGGGGCGCATGAATCAGCTATGAGTCCCCTGGGTGCTGGGGAGCCCCAGCTGGGCTGGCAGGGGCTGGCCCTGTGGGGCTGGGGAGTCCAGCCCTGGACAGCCTGAGGCCAGGGAGCCCCTGCTGCGGCTGAAAGGAATCCCCAGTCCTGGCCGGGAACCCCGCAGGGCCAGGAGGAATCCCTGGTCCCAGATGGGAACCCAGGCAGCAGCTGAGCCAGCGGTGGGTGAGGGGAACCCCTGGCGGAAGCGAGGTCCCTGGCAGAGAGGTCCCTGGTGGGAGTGGGGCCGGTGATGGCCAGAGCGAAGTCCCAGGCCCGGTCTGGAACCCCAGAAACAGCGGGGACAGCAGGAAGCCCCAGCTTGACTGGGGACCCTGGCAGAGAGGGGCCAGTGGCAGCTGGGGGGAATCCCAGCTCAAGGAGGCTGACCCTGGGAGCCCAGCATGGGGCCAGCAGTGAGGAGGGAGGCCCACACCCTAGGGACGCCCATAGCCCAGAGAGGAGCCTTGACCTCCCCTGGTCTGGCAAACTCCCTGGTTCGGGACCACTCAGATCCCCAGGGTGCCAGACCAGGGAGGTCCAACCTGTACTTTCTTTTATCCTCACAGTAGTTCCGTCATCCGGAGCCTAGATCACAGCCTGTGAATTCTCAAGGGCTCCCACATTTGCTCCTCTCCTCCCCAGCTGTTCCCTTCCTCTCTAGGAGTGACTTGAGAGACCCGCGTGCTTCGGCTGACAGGGAGTAAGAACTTAAAAAACAATGAATGGTCCTGCAGCACCTTAGAGACTAACAAAAAAATGTAGCTAGTATCATGAGCTTTCGTGGGCACAACCTATGTCTCCAGATGAAACAGGAGTAAGGGCGTTAATGAGCCAAGTATCAGAGTGCTAAGACCACAACACTTCTGGGAAGGGAAGAGAGGTCCACCCTTTCTTTTAATGCACACAAAATCCTTGGGCACCTGTTTCACCCTCCAGGCAGACACACAGAGGGAATCAGGTTTAGCACTGCACAACAGGGCTGTATGTGTCAGTGTATGTGTGTTCCCTAGCCAGTGCAGCAGAAATCCCCGATATTGACCTCATGTTTCACACAGATTCCAGTTGGCATTCAACAAAATGCACGCCTCTCTCTTGGTGCAGTGAATTTCTGGATACAGGGAATGTGTTTCATGACAAACAGCATCTTACTGTTCATTGCTAAGCTAATGGGCTTTCTGTCTTCCTGATATAATGCTGAAAGAAGACGTCTGCTTTTTTGCTTTTGCCCGCAGGCAACAAAGGCTGTATTGATTTACTCAGGACTTGGGACTGGTTTTTCATGGGTTGCCTTCTCTTTGATAATAAAGCCTTATGGACAGGGTTTAAATTTCAGCTGCAGCCCTAATTCAAATGTGGCTAATTATGAGAGATGTTGATTTACAGTCTGTTTCCCTTGTCATTGGGGAAATGTACCATAAAAGCAACTGCCATCATGCCATTTTTTAAAAATGACACCCCAGCTGTACAGTCAAGTTCTCTGCATCCACTTGGAATTTGCCACTTCCTCTCTGAGCCCGCATAGTTACAAGCCAAAAGCCCCATCCTTCAAGGATTCAATTACTTCAGTGCAGGTTCAGGGAGCTTCCAGGATCTACTCCTGAGTAAAGCAAAAAATTGTTGAAACAGGGAAAAATCCAGAATGGTCAAAACAAATGTTCAAGCTCAACTGATTCCTACTGGAATCCCTCTGAATGGGAGCAATCCACGTTAATACACAGAAGGCTAACAAATTAAAACATACTACGGAGCTTTAAATATGATTGACCATTTCAATGATCTAGTTACTATGCCTCCAATCACCAGCTGGCTACAGTGCAGCACTCTGGCAAATGCTACTCAACCTAGATTTATGGATTAATAATAGATCGTGGCTTAGCGGGTTATAAATGGACACTCGTCATGGCTAGCAGTCAGATTATTTACTGAATGATAACAGGATACCTCTGGCCGCAAGGACATCCCTCTGAGGAGACTGCACCAGAGCCTTTCGTTTTGTAGTTTATTCACATTCAGGAACAGGGTTATTGCCTCATAAAGCAGCAGCAAAATCTCATCAGAACTTTAGTGCTGCTAGAACGATGGCAGTGTAAGGGACACCCGCTCCCTGACACAAGGTGAGAGCCACACACACAAGCCGGGGGCATTAAGAGCCATAATTGACAGTTTCATGTACACAATGCTTCACTCAAGAGGCAAGTCAAGGAGGCAACTCTACAAAAATCCCAATTGTATTTACTTAGCATTTCATGGTGCTTGATGGCAGGAACGCCACAAAGCAAGCATGCTCGTTACAGCATTGGAAATTACAACCCATGCTCCAGTCTGAAAATCTGAAGCACAGATTATAATTTTAGAAGTTCTAATTAGCATCCACGTCAGTGGAGCCACATAAACTTCCACCAGCTGAGGATCTGGCTCCCATAAATTAAATAGATAAAAATTATGGATTTCACAGTGGAAAGAGAGGCATGTGATTTAAAAAAAAAACTTTTAAAATGAAAGGAGCAGCTTCTCTGCTGGAATAAACTGAAGTAGCTCCACTGAAGTCAATTTACCAGCTAAGGATCTAGCCCAAAGAACCTAGCAGTGATCATCATGAAGGTGCTGGGTTGACAGCCTTGGAAAGTAAGGTCCTCTAGCCAGAGAGCAGGAACTGCACAATTGGTAACAATTTGAGTATAAATGTACACACACACACACACACACACACACACACACACACACACGGAGGACATCACCTCTATACACACACACACAGCTCTGACCTAGAGGACAGCACCTCTATGGATGGGAATCGAGTCTCCAGGACTCATTCAAAACCTCAGCTGCATGGGGACAGGCAGCTGCAGCGGTGATGTCTATCACAGATGCCAATGCATGAGGATCTGGATCAAGGCCCAACTCAGTTACATGGGCCACAGGTTAAAGCCCGATTTTGAAAACACACACAACGCAGCACAGCACAGACGGGAAACTCTAATGCACAAAGGAAAGCGAGCAGATGTGAGAGTCTCTCTCACCAGAAGGAAGATGTGAGAGTCTCTCTCACCAGAAGGAGGGTGATAAAATATGGGAATAGTTCACATACCTGATCAAACAGAGCTTTCCAGTGCTGATAGAGAAGAGGCAATGCATAAAGAAGGGGAAAAAGGAAAAAAAAAAGATAAGAGCAATTATATTAGAATGCAAATCATTCTGGAAATATACTTTAAACAGGCAAATAACTGAACGATCTGGTGGACTGCACTTGGGATGGTGAGCCGGGAATTCCTGCTTCTCTCAGTAACTTGCGATGAGGCATTGGGCAAGTCATATCCTCTCTGTGCCTCATGTCCTCATCTGAGAAATGGGGATGAATAATATCACCAGGCAGAAGGGAGGCATTCGAAGGGTTAATGCTCCTGCCGTGTTTCAGGGGTACCAAGAGTTTGCCCACCAATCCTTGTGACCTCAACTCTGCAATTAAAAGACCCATGCAGGAGATACCGCATGCAGTCAGGTGTGTGTGTTTCGCCTTCACACGGCTCATTGTTTCTTTCGAGTGCTTTGGGACCACTAAGCAAGCCAGTCGCTGGCCACATTCTACATTTTGCACCGCCTCAGATCCAAAGCGCTCACTTCCGCATCCCCTCTCAGGCTCACATGCCATCAGAAGCGCAGAAGTCCGAGCAGCAGACAGCTCCCTAGCAGGGCTCTCAAACCGGACATAACTATGTCTCCTTCCCAAGAGGCATGGTGAGAAGGAAGAAGTAGCCATGTGGCAATGTGAGGGTGACACAGCAACGCAGCTGGTTCCAAGATCCCTATAAAACAGGAGTGGGGAACCTTTTCTGGGCCGGGGACCACTCACTCAGAAAACATCAGTCAGGGGCCATGCACAAGTGAGAAGCAAAAAAAAAAAAAAAAAAGTCCTCACTGACGTGGCACCCCAATTAAGAAGGAAAAAGACACTCCCCACATTTTCCTTGCACCCCAGAGCTTAGAGAGCCTCCCGCTAATAAACTTTGTGCTCCAGTTCCATGATGGGGCAGCAGGGGGGCTGGAGCGCCAGCACAGTCTCCCCATTGCAGGGCACACACACCCCAGCCTCACGGGCCGGATCCAGGCAAGCCAGGGGCCTGAGGTTCCCCAACCCTGCTATAAAAGTTAGTTCCAGTCTAGTATTTGAAAGCCCACTCATACCCATCCCCCCAACCACAGTCCATGCTCCTGAGTTGCGTCTCCCTCGCTTGCTTTTGAAAGCAAGGTGAGAAAAATATTGGCACCAGATTTCACGCAGGCAAAATGCCTCTGCTGCTTTGTGTAGAGTAGTGCTCCGGTTAAAGTCTTAACTATGTTCTCTTCCAATCATTTATTGAGCTTTGCCTACCTAGCGGAGAGGTCGTGGTTTACATATTAATTTGCTGAATTCCCATCAAGTGGGTTAAGCTGTAGCTGGAGTGGATATTCATTTATAAACTCTCATTTGTGCCTGTAAACCTGCCCAATGCTTTCATGTGTTAGGGTATTTTAAACCCGGGCTTTGTTTAATGTCACTTTAAGTGTTGTAATGACAACACAGTGGTGCCATTCCCTTCCAGCCAACGCGGCGGGAGCAGAACCTCCCACAGATAGCCCTCTCCCTTTTTTAAGTGATTAGCAATGTGTAAGAATCGACTGTGTGTCAGGTCTTGGTAGACAAGCCAGCGAGCTTATCTCAAGTTTCCAAGTAAAAGAAGAGCAAAGAGAAAAAAAGAAAAATCAAAGCTCAGTTCGGCCTTCGGTGTGCTCCTAACTCAACAGTTTTAATTTTCAGACAGGATTCTGAAGCCTGTGAATCCCAACCTGAAATTCATCAACTGCATGGGGGAGGGGAACTTTCACAACTTTCTGTAACATTTTATGTACTGATTGCCCACAAATTAATCTTGGCACTTCTAGATTACCAACAAAATCAGCCTCACCACAAGGCTCTCAGGTTGGTGTGCATTATCTCCGTCTTCCTGATGGGGAAACTGAGGCATAAGACATTTTAAAAGTCTGCTCCACCCCCTGCCGAAGTCAATGGAAAGATAGAATGTTTTCTATGGGAGCTGGAGTGGGCCTCATGTGACTTGCCCAAGATCACATAGCAAGTCAGTGTCAGGGTTACACCCCAGATCTCATCCAGATATGTGCTTTTCATCTCAAGACCATGTTTTCTCTTCCATTCCTAGAGTCCATGATAGCCCAGTGCTCAGCATTTTCAACATCTGCTGACTACAAACGCCACGGATCGCACATAACGCTAAATTCCAAAAAGAAATACAGATCCTCCAAGTAACAAACCCCGGTTTATTACCCCCTGGGAAAAAATCCAGTACAAAACCAGTATCTGCATGCTTCCCGAAGGCTGGGCAGAAAACATTCTGGATTTGGTCATTTTTCTCTGTGACCCTGGACAAGTCACAATTTGGACATTATAATGATACAGGGTGGTCTTTTTTATACTTGTGTGTTAATAAATGTTATTATATTTTCATTCTTACTGATGCCCCGACTGTCTTGGGAGAGGGCACTTTAAAATAAATTAATAATCATAATTAATACTACTCTGCTTCAGCTTCCTCTATATGTCTTTAGGGAGAATCTTTGCTTATCTAAGAGACATTGCAATAGTTAGACTGGCTACAATCCTGATTTTCTCATGCACCCAAAGCTCCCAGGTAAGTAATTCAGCGTATAAGGAATGAATGCTCATCTAACATGAGAATTGCAAAACTGGCCCATTAATGTTTGTAAAGCACTTTTATACAGGGAAATCCATACAACAGTTCAGCATTTACATTCAGAGATTCATATGAAGTAGATTAATGCTATAGACTACACACATTTCCCTCCCCGCTCTTTGGCAGTACATTTTTTAGCAGGCTGGCCAGCAGCCTGGCTCAATTCTGGCTTGTGACGGGTCCGGGACCTACCCTGCTGTGACTCTGCATTTAAAATGTATTAGGAGCCAGACGGGCAGGCAGCCCAGCTCAGTTCCAGCTCGCACCAGGTCTGGGAGCTCAGCCCTGTCCCAGACAGAAGCTGCTGCCACCCACTCTTTATTAGAGGCAGCAGAGTGGGGCAACAGGCAGCCAGTCCGCAATGGGAGCTGATTTTTAAACTGGCACCCCTTGCGGACCAGCTCCTGCATGGCATCATGCTCTGCTGCCTCTGATACAGAGGCAGCAGCACAGAGTGGCTGGGGGTTCCTCGGGAGTGGAGCCAAAGCACACTAGCTGCTGGCTGCACCCCCGGGAACTACAGAATAGTCGACTAATCAGTAAGAATTCATGAGGTTACTCGACTATTCAATTACCTGATATTTAACATCCCTAATATGAAAAGCATCAAATTCTGCCTTTGAAGAGCACTCGTGTCCCCCAGGTTACTGGGAGAAGGAGATGAGCAACAGGGGACAACCACCTGCCAAGAAACTGCAGACTCTAAAAAGAGCATCACAGACATGAGATTGGTAATGCAGGTGGAGGCCTAAATAACAAATGACTTTTTGCTCTACTAGGGCCTAATCCAGCACCCACTGAAGTCAATGTGAGTCCTTCCACGGATCACTATCAGCAGCGAATCAGGCTCTTACACAGCAGCTTTCATCTTAGACTCCCCATGCACCTTTGCTGACCCCCTCTCTACTTCCAAAAGAGTCAAAGCCTCAAGACCACTTGGTAAGCCAGTGCCAGGTTCCCCACTGCACAGGGCAACAGGGATCAAAGCGAATGGGCAGAATGTGGTGGTGTCTTGTCCGTCACAAATTAGAGAAGGAGGCCTGTTCAGGATGGGGGATGCCCAACAGGATGAGGTGGAAAAGAGAGTTCACAAGGGCCTAGGAGGGGTCCAATGGAGATGCAAAGGGCTTCTGGGAAATACAAGGTATTTTTTAACTCCATTGCTTCCCTGTACTTCTGCTTTATACTTCAGAGGATCTTCCATTGATGCAAATGAGAATTACTCAAGCACCCACAGCAAACCAGCCTCCTACATTTGACCAGTTGGTTTTTGCATCAGGAATGCAGCACAGTGTCAGAAACAGGATAATTGGAAACCTAACTATAGCACCACCAGTGGAATAATGCTGTCAGACGCTGATAGCACTGTAAATGCTTAGCTGGCTGCATACTTGCCCCAGTATGAATGCACTCATTACCATGTAGTCATGAATCTTTAGTGGTCACCTGAAGAGAGATTCAGGATCCCTAAATCTTCTGAGCAGTGGAAAGGAAACTGGGGGAAGGGGTGTCTCAGACTTAAAAACATAGAGGTGCTGGTCTTGGTCAATACCAGGTTTGCAGTTTAAGAATCTTTAGAGATTAAGGCTTACAACTCAGTTGAAATTTAAGAGGATGTGTGCACACAATGAAAGCGAAAGAATTAGAACACACACTTTGAACATGGACCATGTGGTGCTTGTTATAAAGTTCTCCTACATGTAAAGACAGGTTCCTTGATAATATTCTGAAAGCACAAACCACCTTGAAGTGGCAAAACATATATGGATGACAACTGTAGGTTGAAGTAAACCAACCATCACTTAACTCCCTTTGGATTCAGAGTGGCCACAATGCACAGTCTGAAGTAAGCATGGGACTGAAGAGAGCAATATTCCTACAGGATTTTCTCTCTCTCTCTCTCTCTCTCTCTCTCATACACACACACAAAAATGGGGATTTTCAAAGGATCCTCTTAAGCTGAAGGGCCCCCCCCTCTGTGCTCCCTTTGGGTTCCCAGGGACAAGGTATGTCCATTGTGAGTATTTAGGGGCAGGGCCCGTGTTCTGGCACCATAGACATATCAGGAAGTCTCCTTTAGTGGAGAAAAGATTTGACTCTAGGCAGAAAAGTCATTGGAAATGCGCTTCTCTCCTTGATTTCATGTGGTTAAGGGGATATGGAGGGGCCCCCCCCTCTGTGCTCCCTTTGGGTTCCCAGGGACAAGGTATGTCCATTGTGAGTATTTAGGGGCAGGGCCCGTGTTCTGGCACCATAGACATATCAGGAAGTCTCCTTTAGTGGAGAAAAGATTTGACTCTAGGCAGAAAAGTCATTGGAAATGCGCTTCTCTCCTTGATTTCATGTGGTTAAGGGGATATGGAGGGCAGGGGGGGGGCTCTATTCTTGCGACTTTCCCTCCCCAGTGTCACCAAACCTCCTCCCCCCTTGAAGTTCAGTTATAAATAGCTTGATCCGATTAAGGCATTGGGGGGAGAGAGGGAGTGTAGAGCAAATGAAACTTACATCCTCTGTGGCCATAGGCAAGACATCCTCCGACTCCAGCACCTCTATTTCTTCTGCCTCGGAGCTGGCAGCCACGGCCGGGGAAGAGCCGGCGTGTGTCTCCGGCCGCCTGTCTCCCATGCTGGGAACCAGCCCGGATTTTGACAGCAATTGCAACTAGCTGGTGTCTGGCAAACTTTCAAACCCGGCCCAGCGTCGGCTTCTCCATCAGGGCTCCTGCAGCCGGGGGGGATCCTGGGCGGGGGGCTCCCGGGCGCGCAGGCAGGGGGGGCCCCC